GGTTTCCCTCAATCTAGAACACAGGATTGTCAGAGCTGAAACTGTACAGTTCTGGGAAAACAGAGATAGTTTATCACCTATCCATTTATCTTCCTTCATATCACAGCCTTCCCCTCGGGGGAGACTAGATAAAAAGTAGACCGGGCAGGGGCATGGTGGGGCATGCCTGTAATCCCAGATGCTCAGGAGACTGAGGTGGAAGGATCACAAGTTCAAAGCTGCCCTCAGCAACTTAGGGAGGCCCTAAGTAACTTAGCAAGAGCCTGTCTCTAAACAAAATATAAATAAATAAAATATAAAAAGCAGTGGAGATGTGGCTCAGTGGTTAAGCATTCCTGAGTTCAATCCCTTGTACAAAAGTAAAATTAAATTTTAAAAAAAGCCAGTTCCTGTATATGTATCAAGGGTTCCCTGGGGATGAGGGGCACATAACCTACCACTATTTTGACACTTATAGGTAGAATCTGGGGAGAAAAAAAAAAAACTTAGAAGAAAATATAGACGAAAAACTTCATGACATTGGATTTGGCAATGCTTTCTTAGATATGACAATAAAAGCACACTCAACAAAGGAAAAAACAGCTTCACACTGCCTGCAATCCCTGCTCCCTCTGGACTTGAGACCCTGATGCTTAGGCTGACTTATTGGGCCTTTCTTTTTCCTCTGGGTAATGAGGTTTCAGGAGCCCTGTTGTCATTCTGAAGTCCAGTCCCATGCAAGAAGCTCGACCTCTCTTCAAATATACACACGTCTAGATCTCAGGGCAGCCATGAAAAATTATTTCTCACAGAGCCTCTAGCATCCATGTACATCATGGATATGGCTGGTTCCCACTTCAAAGTCCCTAAATGCTCCAGATTTAAAAGTACCTCAATTGTCTTTGACAATTGGTGAGGAGGGTGGTGCATAGCACAGAGATAACCTCCAGGGGGCAGTGTTGCCTAACGCCAAAGCCCCTGTCCAGCATTTCACCTGAGCCCAAAGTAGTGTATTATATGTTGTTGGCTTTCTTCTCCTTCCTCTTTCCTTAAGTTTTTAAATTCCTTTCCAAAAACCCCGACCCATTTCAACTGATGGAGAAAATTTAAAGGTTTATTTTTTCCCCTCAAGCCTCATCATAGAAAACAAAAGATTGTTATATCTCTGGAGCCTAGTGTATTTTTTGAAGAACTCGGACTTTTTTTTTTTCTCGCTCTCTAATTTTATAGAAAACTAGGAAATAGACCGTGTGTGGTGGTGCAGGCCTGTAATTCCAAAGGCTCAGGAGGCTGAGGCAGGAGTATCACAAGTTCAAGGCCAACTTCAACAACTTAGTGAGGTCCTGAGCAACTTAGTGAGACCCTGTCTCAAAATAAAAAATGTCAAAAAGGGCTGAGGATGTGACTCAGTGGCTAAGCACCCCTGTGTTCAAACCCTGGTACAAAAAAAGAAAGAAAGCTAGGAGATAGGGGTAAAAATTCAGCTACTCCATAACATATTTAGATCTCTTGACTTTCAGAACTATTCCAGACCCCAAAATTACCTAGGGGGCGGGGGTGCCAGTTCCTGTATATGTATCAAGGGTACCTGGGGGGGCGGGGCAGATAACCTACCACTATTTTGACATTTATAGGTAGAATCTGGGGAGAAATAAAAACTTAGAAGAAAATATAGAGGAAAAACTTCATGACATTGGATTTGGCAATGCTTTCTTAAATGTGACAATAAAAGCACAAACAACAAAGGAAAAAAAATAGATCACTTAGCCTTCCATTGAAATGAAGAATGTTTATCTATCAACAGAATCAAAAAAGACAACCCATAGATTTTCAAACATATATCTGATAAGGGATTGATGTCCAGAAGGTACAAAGAATTCCTACAATTCAACCAAACAACCCAATTAAAACATTACCAAGGGACTGGAACATATATTTCTCCAAAGAAGATATATGATTTTTTTTGTGTATGTGGTGCTGGGGATTGAACCCAGGGCCTTGTACATGCAAGGCAAGCACTCTACCATCTGAGCTATATTCCCAGCCCTCCACAGAAGATATATGAATAAGCACATGAAAAGCTGCTCAACATCATTTGTCATTAGATAAATACAAATCAACACCACAATGAGACCACCTCACACCCACTAAGAGGTATTTAAAATACCTTTTTAAAAATATATATATATTTTTAGTTGTTGATGGACCTTGATTTTATTTATTTGTATGTGATGCTGTGAATCAAACCCAGTGCCTCACACATGCTAGGCAAGCGCTCTACCACTGAGCCACAACCCCAGCCCCTATTATATCTTTTTAAAAAGAAGAGTGTTGGTAAGGATACGAAGAAATAGGGACTCTTGAGCATTGCTGATGGGAAATAGAAAACATTGCAGGTGCTGTAAAAAAAAAATGCACCTATATAATTTATTTATAAAAAGAACCAGAACTCACAGTTGAACCCAAAAATTCAAATAAGGCCTTTAACATATAAAAAGGTGTTTTCTCACACACACACACACACACACACAAAAAAAAAAAAAAAAAAAAGCTGCAGCTCCCAGTTTCTCAAAATATTAAATATGGGTTTGGGTGCAGGGGCGCACACCTATAATCCTCAGCTCGGGAGGCTAAGGCAGGAGGATTGAAAATTCAAAGTCAGCCTCAGCAATTTAGTGAGGCCCTAAGTAACTTAGTAAGACCCTGTCTCAAAATAAAATATTTAAAAAGGCTGGTGATATGGCTTAGTGGATAAGTGCCCCTGGGTTCAATCACTGGTACAACACAAATAAATAAATAAACATAATAAAATAAATATATATGAAATTACCAGGTGATACAGCAATTCTACTTATTTGGAGCATACACCAAAGTAAGTAAAAAAAGGGATTTTTAAACAAATATTTGTATACTTCTACTGAAAGGTAGAAGTGACCCAAGTGTCCACTGACAGACAAATGGAGAGTGATTCATCCTTTAAAAGGAAGGAACTTATGAAACATGCTATAACATAGATAAACCTTGAAGACATGGTGCTAAGTGAAATCAACCAGTTTCAAAAGTACAAAATTGTATGATTCCACTTACATGAGGTACATAGAGTAGTCAGACTCATAGAAAGTAGAATGGTGGTTGCTAGGAGCTGGGGAAAGGAGGGAATAGGTATATAGTGCTTAATGTCTACAGAGTTTCAATTTTGCCAGATGAGGAGTTCCATGGATAGATGGCAGTTATGGATATGAATGTAATCAACACTACTGAGCTATACACTGTAAATGGTTAAGAGATAACTTTCATGTTACATATTCTTTAATCATATATTTTAAAACAGAGTCTCAGTTTTTAAAGAGCCCAAAGTTAACTTCTGTTTGTCTAAACTTGATCAAACTCAGTTACTGACTAGCAACAATCAGCCATTCATTCCCTAGATATGTATTAAGCATATGCCATATGCCTTACTCTTCAAAATACCTGGGATACAATAGTATCAATATAATAAAAAACAATAAAAACAAATAGCCCTGATTGTCACAGAGCTTATACTCTAGACTGATTAAAATTCAAGATTCATTTTGAAATCTAAATGCAGATACAGATGGTCACCATCTGTCATGGCTTGACTTATGCATTTTTTTCTTGGTTGCTGTTGTTGTTTAATTTATGACGGTATAAAAGTGATACACACTCAGTAGAAACCATGCCTCGTGCTTTGATCTTCTCCCAGGGTAGGGATATGCAGTACCATGTTTTCCTTCCTGTAATGCTGGGTAGTAATAGGAAGCTGCAGTTCCCAGTCAGCCACTGGCATACAAAAGTAAACAACAGATACTGTACATTGTACTGTGGTGCCAGCATTTTTGAATATTGAATTTTGGGTTTTCATATCCCATCTTGTCTAAAAAACGCCTATCTGTGTATGTATATGAGATATTCAACATCTTACTATTAATAATGCTTTGTGTTAAGACAATTTTGCTCAACTGTAGATTAATATAAGTGCTCTGAGCACATGTAAAGTAGAATAGGCTAAGTTATGATGGCCAGTAGATTAGGGATATAAGTATATATCGGACTTACTGTGTTATTAATCTTGGTAATATTATATGGGTAATAGAATATAACACCATCATCAATCAAGGAGCATCTGTGTATTAATTTACAAAAAGATCCAGGACTCAAAGTTGAACCCCAAAATACAAATAAGTCCTTTAACATATGAAAAGATGTTTTCTAACACCAAAAGAAATCAATAAATGGGCAAAAGTACTGAATAGACACTTCACAGAAGAAGAAATACGATCGATCAACAAACATGAAAAAATGTTCAACATCTCTAACAATTAGAGAAATGCAAATTAAAACTACATAGCGATTTCATCTCATTCCAGTCAGAATGGCAATTATCAAGAATACAAGTGGGGGGTGAGGTTGTAGATCAGTGGTAGAGCGCTTGCCTAGCACGTGTGAGGCACTAGGTTTGATCCTCAGCACTGCATAAAGATAAATAAATAAAATGAAGGCATTATGTCCATCGACAACTAAAAATTATTTTTAAAAAAGAATACAAGTAACAATAAAGGTTGGCGAGGATGTGAGGGAAAAGGTATACTCGTACATTGCTGGTGGGATGCAAATTGGTGCAAACACTCTGGAAAGCAATATGGAGATTCCTCAGAAATCTTGGAACAGAACTGCTCATCATTGGATCCAGTTATCCCACTCCTCAGCATATACCCAAAGAACTTAAAATCAGTATACTATAGTGACATGGTCACATCAATGTTTATAGCAGCTCAATTCACAATAGCTAAGCTATGGAACCAACCTAGGTGCACTTCAACAGATGAATGGATAAAGAAAATGTGGGGAGCGGTGACTTAAGCAATGGAGCGCGGTGAAGCCCATTTTTCTCTTTCCTCGCAGCCATGCCGGGGAGCTCGTGGCGCTCGCCCCCTCTACTCCGGCCCAGATTAATGCTGCGGCGAGTTCAACATCCTCCTGGCCACCGACTCCTACAAGGGTCTTGCTAAGTTGCTGAGGTTGACCTCACACTTGTGATCTTCCTGCCTCAGCCTCCTGAGCCTGTGGGATTACAGACATGAGCCACTGTGCCTGGTTACACTATAAACAGTACCCACCCAATACAAGTAAAGTTTATTCCTATTTTAAATGCCGTGAAAAGAAGACTGAAAACTCCAAAGTAAGGAAGGTGAAATACGAGGAAACAGTATTTTATGGGTTGCAGTACATTCTTAACAAGTACTTAAAAGGTAAAGTAGTAACCAAAGAGAAAATCCAGGAAGCCAAAGAGGTGTACAAAGAACATTTCCAAGATGATGTCTTTAATGAAAAGGGTTGGAACTACATTCTTGAGAAGTATGATGGGCATCTTCCAATAGAAGTAAAGGCTGTTCCTGAAGGGTCTGTCATTCCCAGAGGAAACGTTCTTTTCACAGTGGAAAACACTGATCCAGAGTGCTACTGGCTTACAAATTGGATTGAGACTATTCTTGTGCAGTCCTGGTATCCAATCACAGTGGCCACAAATTCTAGAGAGCAGAAGAAAATATTGGCCAAATATTTGTTAGAAACTTCTGGTAACTTAGATGGTCTGGAATACAAGTTACATGATTTTGGCTACAGAGGAGTCTCTTCCCAAGAGGTAAGAAACTGAAATAAATCTAATTTAATAAAATGTAGATTGTCTGGTAGAGTACCACTATAAACTTTTCTGGATGTTAGTAGGATTAGTATAGACCACCTTTTAAAATTCCAAAGATT